AATAATTTGTTTTTACATTCATCGGGCCCAATCAGCCCAAATATCAAAGAGAAATTAAAAATGCATGCCGTGGAAGAGTTCGGGTCTTAGGAGGTTAAATGCTAATTTCCCATTTACATCACGTGGGCTGGTAAGAGACTACCAATGGGCTGGATGTGGCCTCCAGGCTGTACAATGCCCAGCACTGACACTGGTTACACTTACAAGACACTTTATTAACAACACTTTGCTAACACTGTGTTGCGCCCACCTTTTCTTTTAAAGCTGCCTTAGTACTACAGATTCAAGAAGGTGCTGGAAACATTTGTCTTGAGATTTTTGGCCAAATAGTCGCCGCAGATTTATTAGCTGCATACCGTGATATGGATCTTCTGCACCGCTACATGCCAAATGTGCTCTATAGGATTGAGATCAAGTGACTGTGGAGACAATCTGACTAAGATGAACTCAGTCACAGGTTCAAGAAACAACTTTAAGATTATTTGATCTTTGTGACATGGTAGATTATCTTGCTGAAAACAGTCATCTGAACATTAGGCTGTGGTCATAAAGAGAGGGACATGATCAGCAAGGCTGGATCAGAAATCAAGACTCATCAGACCAGACACTGTTTTTTAAGCCTTCTGTTGTCTAAATTTGCTTAATCTGTTTGAACTGTAGCCTCAGTTTCCTGTTCAGGACGGACTGCTGTTGTGGCTTTCTGCTGCAATTCATCTATGTCAGTGATTGAGGTGTGATTATTCGATTGACGGTTGCCTTCCTATCAGCTTGAAGTAGACAAGCCATTCTCTCCAGATTTCTGGTATCAACAAGACATTTTCACCCACTCACTGGGTATTTTATTTTTCAGACTCTTCTCTGTAAACCCTAGAGTTGTTGGGGTTCAGATACTGAAATACTCAGACCAGTCCATCTGGCCTTAACAACCTTTCCCAAGTTCAAACAATTTCACCTCAAAATTTCAATTCACTTCGGCAGGTTGTATTGGGCGTGTCTGCTCGCCTAAATACTAGAGTGTGAATTTTGTTTGATATGTTGCTGTCAAATTTTGCCTGAATAGCTGTTGTAATTATTTCTGTATGGCATAAAATGTGAACTACCCCTTTAAGGCAAGAGTTCGGCATACCAGAGAATTACTTTTAGGAAATACTAAAACAATATAAAATGTACTGTACAGGCCAACAGGGGGTAGCCTGATCATACAATATATAGGAGTTTGTTCACAAAACTGAGCTCCCCACACAATCTTCCCTCTTTTCCTGTTTTGGAAAAGAGGGAAATGGGATAAGAGTCGTGAAAGCTCTTATCCTATTTGTTCATGCAGTCACATATAAAAACAAACTGACAGTTTTGGCAAGGAGTGGTGTATGTTGGAGAATCCAGATTTCAATCTATAAGGTAACAGGCAATTGTTGTAGTTGTTTCTGTATTTATTTAGGCATTTCAAGCTCTTGAACTTTGGTTCACAGGCCAGTAAGCAAGGTTTCTTAAAGTTGTAACTTGAGTTTTTGCTATTAAAGCCTTCAAATGTTTGTACACAGCACGTCAAAGATAAAGGAGCTTATTTCCTGGTCGGGTCAGATTCAGAGCAGGAGGTGAGGGGCCTTCCTGCAGTATAACAAAGTTATCTGTGCGCTTTTGCCATGTCAACCCCTACATTTGTCTTAGACTGGGGACGTGAATACATTTTTTTGTGTCAAAAGCTGGGGAAGGGGTTTTGTGTCTGTATGATTTAAAGAACAAGAACAACAAAAGGATTTAAAAAAGGTAATATTCCAGTTTCCGCTTGTCCCGTTCGGCCATTCAGAGCACAAACAAAAAAGTGGAGTTTCCACAGGAGTGATGTGACATTAAAATCCACATTACACGTCGAACTGCTTGATTGTGCTCGTAATGGTTGCCAGCACTGAATTAGATGACACAGAATTGCAATGGTGTTGCTGTG